ACTAGTAGTAACAAGAAGCTACTAGTAACAAAGGGCATCGCTACTAGGAGCAAGGTTGTTTCCTTTGCAGTTTTGACCATATCTCATCTCACATCAACTCACTGGAAACAGCATCGCTTCACGTCCCGATGTTTGTTCATGTCAGACTGTCTCTGGTGATGCTATTTGGAGAAAAACTCTCAGTTGATCTCAGATGACCTGGTCTTCCCACATCTATATCATATTCTCTCGCCTCACCTTTCATCATTACCTATCTTTTTAGCTCGTCGTTTACCCATGCCTGCCGCTAAAAATGTGAGAGTGCGTGAGTTGTCAGGATTCATCCACATGTGACCCGCTTGCAGGGTGCAATAATTTGAGACTAGAACACAGTCGAAGAGCAATGGATATCTTGCAGTCAAAATCAACGCTCAAGGGCTTGCTGTCCAAACAGCTTCAGGTGCCAACTGTTACCGAAAGAACCTGGAGCACTTGAAGCAGTTTGTGTCGAAGACTCAGAATGCGTTGCTGTCACTAGTCATATCCACAACAGCTGGTTTCTCAAGAGTTTGACAACTTCAACGTTCAGAGGCCACAAATATGTTCAATTGGCAAAGATCATCCTAACATCATTGCAACAGTTTGAAGCTTGAATGGTCAAGGTAAGAGTCGAAAGCCATTAACAGAAAGAAGGTGTGCGAAAACAGGTGTGAAACCTCGGACCGGACCGAACCTCTACTCGGATTCTGCGAGGCATCCGGGAGATCGACACTATCGGATGGGTCTGGTGCATTTTCCGACAAGAAAAGGTGTCATTCAGCCGCACAAGAGTAGTTGAGACTGCGGGCTTCTCTGTTTTGGGCTCACGGCACCATACGGCACCAAAACCGCTAGGGAAGAAAGAAGAAAAAAGAAGCTGTCGTTAGCAGGTTGGAGGCCATCCCTGTTAGGTTGGAGGCCATCACTACAAACGAAAGAAGCTGTCGTTGTTAACGCTCAAAGCGTGTTCAGCGTTCTTCGTTTCTCCAGGGCGAGGGCGTCAGCCATGTGTTCAGCATTTCAGAAACGGGTGTCCACTGGTCCAAGGTGCGCGTGAAACCAGCGTTTCCAACATTGCATCTTGGCTCATCATGGCTCTTGATGGTGTCTTCTTTGCCCATGTATCTATTGCCAGGCGAGACTTATTTAACTATTGCGATCCGGATGAGTCTGGCAACATCTCCATGGAAGAGTTCCAGGATCGTTGTGCTGTTACTTCCGGCTTGGAAACTGTGCCAGCTGTTTATCACGTGGTCCTAGCGGTGGGAGTTCTCCATGTCAACCTTTGGTGAGAAACGTGCGAGTTTTTTTCATTTGCAAGACCAGCGAATCCAGCGCGAAAGAATTCTGGAAAGAAGCTGCGCATGCCGTACGACGGTCAATGTTCTGCCACGAACTCTGCACTATCCCTTCTTGTTCCTAGTAGTATGGCCAGGAGCCCCTAAGAGCTTCTTGTTCCTAGTAGCGATGCCAGGAGCCCCTGGTAGCGTCCTTGCTCCTAGTAGCGATGCCCTTTGTTCCTAGTAGCAAGAATGCTACTGCGCTAGTTTGAAGGGGCCAGTTTAAAGTGTGCTTTCGAAGACCTGCACGGCGCGCAACGAAGGTACACACCCCCTCCCCGGAACGGAGCGGCTCGCTAGCCTCGCAGTGCGCAGCACAAGTGTGAGCTGTCAACTTCACTGAGGAAATGAGAAAAACCAAGAAAGCTAAGGGCATCGATACTAGTAGCAAGGTGCCTTACTACTAGTAGCAGGAAGCTACTAGTAACAAGTGCATCGCTACTAGTAACATAGCGAATGCACTTGCTACAACAAGCGAGATAATAATAAAAGGTAAGGGCTCCTGTGAAGGGCCCATTTTGTTTCGTATGGTTTTTGCTTTCTCCACTTCAAAGAATATTTATTGTAAGTTTATTCGTTCCTTTAGAGTGTGTTTGTGTGAGTGCTGTCGACCTCGGCGGACGGCCATGATGTTGAGCTGACTGCTCGGAAGGTTTTCTTCGTGGCACAACAGATGCAAACATTTTGTTTTAAGGATTTAATAGCAATGGCCTCCAACCTAATAGCAAAAGGAACCTACTAGCGATTGCCTCCAACCTAATAGTTAAAAATTAGACGCTATTCTCAGTTCTTCATTCAACATGGTGGGATTGCGGATGTTTGTGTCAGGGCATCCAACTGAAATTGCCACGAACTGCTGGCACGGCATGGCAGTGCCCAAGAACTGAAGATCAAAACTGAACTCACTCTTTTTTTTCGACAGCAGTTTCTTGTTGGCTTTTTCAGGATGCATGGGACCACTTGTGCACTCTGCCGCACGAGATCTTTGGTGCCGAGGACTGTCGAAAATCACGGTGTAATGGGCAACCAGAATACTACTTGCATTCATCGACCAGTTGGACAATCTCAAAACGTGAAGGTCGAAATGCTGTTCAAAATTTTTGGAGGGTTTGATGGAACCGGACTGTGGGCCATTTGGGAAGCAGTCATATTGAAGTGCGAGCGTTTGATTTTGCCAAGGAAACACATTTCGGATGCAAAGTGCTGTAGCGATGGCCTCCAACCTACTTGCGATGGCAACCACCTAATAGCGTCCTTGTTACTAGATCACATGTTTCCATGTTTCTTCCGTCTTTCTGCCAGTCGTCGACTCCACCATTTTGTGTCGCGTGGACCTCACACACCGAGTAAAGATTCAGCACAGATAGAGCCGGCTTGGGACGTTCGCAGGAGAGGACATGAAAGTACATTGACTCCCCTTGAAGGTCAGTGACTTGAACCACCCTTTTGTGGACCGATTGTGGCATGCAATCTTGGAAACTCGTCTGACACTTCCATATCGAAGGTTGGGTCTAGATGCCAATGCGACAGACACAGAATTGGTTCAGAAATTCAAGACTGAAGGAAGATCAGATTCGTTTGCGACGTCTAAAGTCTAAGTTCTTCAGCCATCCAGACTTTCTTGGCCGGTTCCTTTCCTGAACAGGAGGGAAACACGCTGGGTGGATCAGCTGCAGAGGCAAAATATTGTTTCCAGTTACTTTCCAGGGTTCGTTTGGACGTTGCCAAGGGTGTTTACATGTCAGCCACTTTAGCTGTTAAGTTTCCCACAAAACAAGAAGCTTCCTTGGGAATCGTTTCACTGGGAATCGTTTCACCTGTAGTAACAAGAAGCTTTCTCGTATGTCTTTGAAGCTTCTTAGTAACAAGAAGCTGCTATATTATATAGTTCAGTTTTCCTCAAGAAAAAAAACAAATCATTGAGGTTGCTTCAATCAAGCCTGAGCCCTTCGCCCTTGAGCCCTTCTACGTCATAGTACGCTTCGTTCAGCGAAGAAAAGCTACCCCTAGCAGCCTATCCCCTCCCACCACGCATTCAAAAAGAAACCATCCGAAACAATCCTTGTTACTAGGAGCAAGGACGCTACTAGGGGCTCCTGGCCTTACTACTAGGATCAAGGACGCTACTAGGGGCTCCTGGCCTTACTACTTAGCTACTAGTAACAAGAAGCTACTATATAGCTGTTCAGCCTTGTTAAGGCTTTGTTCTTTCCACCTTCCCCCCGGCTCCAGCTTCGCGCGGCGCCAGGCATGGATCTCTGCAGCCGGAGATGAGCGCAGTCATCTCACCTTCGCACAGTTCGCCCGCTGGGCGTCGGACCGACAGACACGACGGTGATCCATTCGGTGAAAACGATGGGGTCGCTCCGTTCGTAGCGATGCCCTTTGCTCCGTTCGTAGTAAGACCAGGAGCCCCGTTCGTAGCGTCCGATCGCTCTTAGTACAAAAGAAGAATAGACTTGACTTTTGTTTGGATAACGTTCACGGAGTTCTTGTCTGGAGGCATTCATTCGTCAGTCGATCTGTTTCAGGAAGCATGTTCCAGAAAGTGTTGAGGTAGGGTCCGGCGAAGGCAGATGTACAATCTCAGAGGATGTTTGTCGTAGAAGTGATTAAGCTTCTTTTGATTCTGCCATCTCTATTCAAAAGAGAAGATGAAGCGCATGGGGGTTGACACCCGTCAGGACGCAAAGATCAAGTTGCCTGTGGGTGTCGATCCAGCAGACGCCAAAGCAGATCGTCCTTGCCGTTTTGAGTACGGCAAGCGATGCCCTTGTGCCAACTTCAAGGCACATCGCACGAACTGCGCCTAGTAGCGGCCTCCAACATGGCAAGCGATGGCTACACGTAAACTTTGAAAGTCCATATCAAAACCCATTTCAATGTCCTTTGATGTCTAAGGGGTCGAATATTTCCAGTGCACCGTTTGGTGCGCCTTGCTATTGCTCGAATGAATTGAATTGAGCTCGAAGCCAGGCACAAAGTCACACTATGTGTGAGTGTGGCCACAAGAGCTCTTCACATCTGTCTGATGTGGCTCTCATGAGCTTGGAGGAGCAGGAGGTGCCGCTACCTTTGAAGATTTGTTCCACAAGGATTGCACAACCTTTGGGAAGCCAATTCGGAAAAGTTCTGCTCAGGTACTGACCAAGTTGAAGCGACGCGCTCTTGGGCGTTCTTCAACCAAGCTTTTCGCACCGGAGAGAAAGCCCGGCTTCTCAATGGTTACCAACAAGGCAAGGATAGCAGCAGGAAACGTTTGCGGTTCCCATTCATGTGCGTTGCATTTTGAGGGCGGTAAGCCTATGCTTGCTAAAACGTAATATATGCTTGCAGCATTTTGCAGCTGTGCTCTACCATGCTCAAGTCAAGGCCTTGTTAAATTCAATTTGCGCAAGTTCAGCTTCAGGCACGTTGCTTGAAATCAGTTTTCACTGCAGGAAGTTCTGGCTGTTTTGCAGAATCTCCTGACAGAGACGCACAAGGCTACTGACAATTGGACAAGGCCCGGATCAAGTAGACATGAAACGGATGTGGATGTAGAAAATATATATAAATAACCATGAGTGAGTCGTAGCTTATCAGCCCCACTGAGATCCCTTGGAGTCAAAGTTGTTTGTCGTACACCTGGTGGCACCAAAGATCAACAATAATGGCTTGCAACCTGAGGCCTCCAACCTAATTGCGATGGCCTCCAACCTAAGGGCGATGGCCTCCAACCTAATAGCGATGGCCTCCAACCTAAGGGCGATGGCCTCCACCCTAGTAGTGATGGCCTCCAACCTTGTACCAACAAGGTCACCCAAACCAAATCCGGTTGCGGACGACACTCCGACAAATCCACGTCGCCCCTCTTCACACCATAGTATCGTCCACGATCTTTGTCAAAGAGCTTCTCTTTTCCACACCGTCCACACCCATGCGTTTTTGCAACGTGTGCACCCCCCTCATATCTCTACTAGGAACAAGTGCATCGCTAG